CAGCAAATGTCAAAGAACTTTTCGTTAACATCAATATTAAGTTTGCTTTATAAATCACTTGTTGAATATTAATAATAAATTTGGTTGTTAAATAATGGGTCACGTACCAGAGAATAGATATCAATTTCCTAAGTGCAACAAACTTACCTTGAGTAGAGTCTGCTTGCATTCCTTTAGTTTACCACATTTGAAGTATGCTCTGGCCAAATACACCAAGACTTCAGTGTTGTGGTGTTTGTAAAACTTCTTCAGGCAGTTCTCATACTGAAATACAACAACAAGATATACAGAATTCCCTTTGCCATTTTCTTCCAAATAAGTTTAGATCTAATAACAACATAGCCTTTACACAGAAGTGATATTTAAATGCCCATGTGAGACTACTTTTGTACTATATTTCAAATTATTCTTAAATATATTATGCAGTTTTTCCATCACCTTAAAGCTATTAAAATTGACCATCACACTAAAAATATAGCACTCAAATGTAAAAAAAAAATTACACCATTTTCAATCAGAAATAGCTCACCATCTGGACGGCTGACACATATTGCTTCTGCTCCACATAAATGTGAGCAATATTCAACCAGACATCAGAGAAATCCGCTGTGGCTTCACGCACTTGTGCAAACACATCCCTGGCCTCATTTATACACTGCTTATGTGCTAACACACAGCCTAGAAAGGTAAAGAAGTAAAAGATACAGTAAGTGGGCTTATATTCTAATATAGCATACACATCCCTGTGGTGACTTTATCAAGATTTATATGTGAGAAAGACACTTAATGGGGAGCAAGATTGACTGCATATTGGCAATAAATTAACCGAGTTCTTTGAAAAAAGTTGACACACATGTGCTTGTGTAAGTCATAATATGTAGATTGACAAAGGGCCATAAAAAAATGAAATAATAGAATGTTAGAAACAGCAATTAAGTTTAAAGCACTTTTTCTACATTCTAGCGGTTAATGTCCTTTCCAATGTCAAGTCTTCATGACAGCAGTTAAATCAACCACATCAAAAGTTTTTAAAATGAACTTTCCTAATTACAGAAACTTTGCATTGTTGCCCTTACCAATGCCATTAGCAGCCCAGATATTCTTGGAATCATTTCTGAGGACAGCTTTGTACATGGCAAAGGCTCTGTCCTGGTGACGCTTTTCCTAGAAAACAAGAATGGCATTAATCACTTATACTGGCCTGCCTTTAATTGTGAATTGTGCATTTGGCATGGGACCAGCGGCTAAGATTCTAGACCATTATTTAGTATATGTATCAATTTTTATCATACCTTTTCTTTGTCTCTCATAGGCTGATGCAGGGTCTGTAGCCAGACATTACCCAGGGCAATCATGGAGTAAGCATCATCTTTGGTGCTAGGTCTCTGCAGGATTCTCTCAAACTTCTTCTGTCCAGGTCCCCACTCAGCTTTGGCAAGGTGAAGGTTACCAATCAGTGACCAGGCATCTGGGTGATCCTAAAACAGGAGAAAACATGTCATGTTACAGAAGTTTTAAAAAAGGTAAAAAACTTAACTGAATCTTTTTTTGAAACTTGGGTGACACGTACCCAACAGAAATTTTATGTAATTAAAAAAAATATTCAAATTTTGATGAAGATTATTAGTGAAATCAGAGATTTCTCCAATGTTTACCTGAAAAAAATTAACAAAGATTATTGGTTTCTAATTGTTTTTGGCCTTTGTCACCAAGTTTGTGGATTAAAACGAACCTGGTTAATCTGCAGTGCCTCTTTGAACCAATCAGATGCCTCATAAATCTGACCTCTGTCTCGAGCCATACATCCGAGACGCAGGTAACCTGGAATGGGATATGTTCATACCTCAACATCATCATATCTCTAAATACAGTTTTTAATATTTCTTATTCTTCTTGTCATCCTATGGAAGTCATTTTCTTGTAAAATTGCTAATTTTAGTTGGTATGTTTTAGAATTAAAAGCTGTCATATCTATATTGTACACAATGCTGAGATGAATGTGGAGCAGGATTTAAAAAAAAAACCTCTTTATAATATAATTATCTATAAAAAGAAATGCTGCCAGTTGCAACCATGTTGACTGCAAAAGAGAACAAAGACACTTGCGTGTTTAAAATAATAAAGTGACTCACAGTCTACATAATTGGGATGTTCTCTGAGAATATTTTTGTACAATCTCTCTGCTTTGTCATCCTCATGTAGTGCCTCATACAGCCTGGCCAGGTTATACGTAGTTGTCACAGAGATAGCGCTGTAGTAGGTCTCATCATTCTGGGCTTCCATCTTGGATCTTTCCAGGGAAGATTCATAGTATCTCTGAAAATATTATAATGGATTTTAAAATATATCATCCACAATTTCCACACTCCACTAATAGAAGTAGCAACATGGGTAAACAAATGGTTACCTTTTAGTTTGATATGCACCATTCAGTACAGTGAACAGCTTATCACAGTGGGTGAAAAATAAAAGGACGATATCACGATCACCCTCTATCGTCATTGTCCCAATCCAAAAATCAGAATCTGTTCTTACCCTGGCCTCCTGCAGATTGCCCAATCTGAAGTGCAGGGCAGCAACATTGTTCAGAATTTCTGGAGGAACATCTGCCTCGACCTTCTCCTTCAGTAGCCTGGTAGCAGTCCCATAGGCTTGCAGGGCACCCTGCAGTTGACATATGTTGTATTAAAGAACAACCGTCAGGTTTGGCACATATAATAATTGACTTCTGAAAATGAGTTCACTGTGCAAAGAAAACGAGTTTAAATTTTATTTTATGATTTATGTGTAAGCATACTTGTGTATGCATATGTGTGTGTGCAAGCGTACCTGTGTTGTTTTCTTGTTGGTGGTGGTGATTGTGGGCAGGTGACTGAGGCTGGAAATGGCTCCATATTATATCCTTACCTGAATATCAGATTGTTCCATGATTTGTGCCAGTTCTATCCAGGCTTCTACATCATCAGGGAACTGCTCTGTAACTTTCTTCAAATGTTGCTGCATGAATAAGTCAGACAGGAATCAAGTAAGGAATCATATTAAATGGCCATGTTTATTCTGGTATGTCTAACTTAAACTTTTTGTACATTTTAAAAATACTACTTTTTTGTACTAACAACAGAACCCTTTCCTCGGCATTTGTGGAACATAAAAGGTAAACACTAAAATTAACAGATTGCAACTTATTACTAACTAGCCAACATTATCAGAACTTTAAATTGATAATGGAAAATTGAAACATACAGCACATATATCTTTTTGATGCCACTTTTTAATCACACTGCTTTCGACAAAGTGACTTTCAAATGCATTCTTTGCAACTTCACTTCAACTATATCCACTGATTTAACCAACTGAAAGTTCTCTGAAATTTTAAAATAACAGCTGTTATAGTTCTAGCACTAACCACAAATATCTTCTGAATACCTTAGCAATGTCTCTCTTTTCCTGTTGGGTGGAGTTGGCATATAGTGACCCCAGAATCTTCATGGTCTCATAGTTTCCAGGTTGTGCCTTCAGGACTTTCTCAAAACACTGGGATGCCTACCACAGAAAACATTATCTAGATTTGCATACTGCATATTTTCACAATTTGAAAATTACAAACTTTACAACTGCCTAGTCAAAATATAAATTGGCACAAGAGCATTCAAAATTACATCAACATGACATGCCTAAAATCCAGGTTAAAATTAACAGTAACCACATTGGTTGCAAAAACTTACATTTTCAGTGTCTCCTCTATATATGTACATCTGTCCAAGCCCAAAGAAAGGCAGTGTGAAGTTAGGGGAAGAGAACTGGGTGGCCTGGTAGTAATACTGGAAAGCCTGGTCATAGTCTTCCTGCAAAGTAGAAAGACAAAATTAAGTAATTGTTTTTCTCTTTTCTGTCATTATTTACACCTGATACTGCAATGTGAACATTTTTATGTCTTATGAATAACTTATCCCTACCAACACACACACACACACACACACACACACACACACACACACACACACACACACACACACACACACACACACACACACACACACACACACACACAACAACCAACAACATTTAGAAACATTGGATACTGTGATGAAATTCTTAAATCACATCAGACATAACATCTACATCAAACGATAATAAAACTCATCAAATAATAGTATTGTTAATACTGACAGAATAATT